GCTTGATTCTTATATGTCCTCAGGGATTGAACCCACAACCTTGGTGTACTAGGATAATGCTCTAACCAACTGAGCTACTCAGCAGAGCTCTGCTCATTTTCTAAATGATAATTTTATGAAACAATATTGAAACAAAACAGTACTATTCTCCAAAAAATGCCAATCTTATAATGCAACACAGAGAGAGGACTTACATGTCAGAAAGTAAAAAGTGTAGATGGTAATAGAATTGGAAATGTTGAAATACAGTCCCTAGCTCATACTGCCTTTAGTAAAAATACCTATTTTGTGTGGGCAAAACATCTCATTATGATGGGCACATTTGTTCTACGGAACTTACTTGGTTTGATCAATGTTCTAGGCTCATCTCACTCAACCAAAACCAAAGAAGCAACTGATCACTGAACTAGAAAGTCTCATACTTATCTGGAGTCTAACAAATATAAACTTTCTGAGCTGAAATTAAGCTATTCGAGAATGATATTTCTAAAAACAATGGAAAAAACAAGTTAATAATATCACCTCAAGTGAGTTTTTAACTTGGGATTGGCAAATCTCATGAAATTATATAGAAAATCTTACATGTGTGTGCATTTTTTCTGGGACAATGACCCAGTATCTTCATCAGATTCTCCAAAGAGAGCAGAATTCCAAAAGCTGAACAATCACTGCTCTTTACAGTTTACAAACTTCTTTCTATTCTTATGTTACTAGTTTTAGAAAAGACTCTACTTATATGAAATTTAGCAATATAATTCCAAATCCATTCCAAATCTCATGTAAGTTCTTACAGCCTACAAGCCTTTCCCAGAGCTGTAATTAAGGGACAATGAGAAACAAGGAGCACAGAAGAATCACTAATCAGAGCAGTCAACTTTTTTTAGCCAACTCTGGAACAGTTGGTATGTACAGAAAATACTGTATAGTGTACTACAAGGAGGAATCTCTAATTATAAATTAACAGTCACAGTTGCCGACACAGACAATCACAGTTCAGTTTTCTATACTTACATAAGACAGTTTAGAAAAATAATTTTTGTACACAGACCATCACTCAAAGTGATGGTCCGTTCCGTGGTTAGTTCCGTGAGCAAACAGAAAAGTTTACAGTATCCACAAGCCCAGGCAATACTTTGATATATTTGGCACCTGCCCCGTAATTTAACATCTTATGATTTATTAGCAAAAACTTACAGCATTCATGAGACTTCCTCTGAGGTATAGGCTGAGATTGGCGACCACTGTCCATAGAATAAACCAATACTGGCTGAACGACAGTAGTCTTCAGTTAAAAACTGCCAACCTTTCAATCTGGCAACAGTTAAAACACAAACAAAAAATTCTAACCAAACCAAAGGAATCCTGAGGTTTGTTTCCTTCCCTCACCCTTGGCGACCGCACCTCATTGTGCACAAGGGGTTGAAGATCTCCTAACCTCAGACTTCAGCGGAACTCCTGCTCAGCAGTGAAAACGGCGGCGGATGTGAACCGGCAAGATCTTGAAAACAGCCGTGAGGCCAGGCTTCGTCTTGCCGGGCCCGAAACCAAGACCAGGGGCGCGCCGCCACCGGAGACCGGGCCGCAGGCTGGAGGGTACCAGAGGCGACCGGGGCTGTGGTCACCGCTTTGGCCCATGCTCAACCTCAGGCCCAAGGGCTGGCGAAGAGGTGAGGAGGGAAGAGTAGACATACCTGGCAGGGACTCTAGGGGACCGGTTCCTGCGTTAGCTCGACTCCAGTCAGACTCTCTCAACATTCGCCACCGCGCCTCCTACTGGGTCACGGACACCTCCACGTTCCGCTGCGACGTGGCAGCCGCAACCCCGCCCAATCGGCCGACTAGCTTCCGGGAGCGATGCGTCGCCCCGCCCATTTCAGCACCGGATCCGCCACGGCAGTTCCGGAAGGAAGCCGCAGGAAGGGACAGGGTAGCTTGTTAAAGCTTCCGGACCACTCTCTTTGGCGTTTTGCGCGCGTTCGTGGTGCTAGGGACCGGTACTGACAGAGAGTAGGCACGGAGTCCATGCGGTAGCCTGGACTGTATGAAAGGGAAAAATCCTACTGAATTTAGATGTGCGGCTGAAGACCTTTGGAGCTTGTCGGAACGCCACGTAGCACTAGTTCGGAGAAGTGAACAGCCCCGGTAACACTGTCCACACCAGACAACCCACATGAAAATCGGTCTACAAGGGCCTTAACTGCAGGGACAGTAACTTGTGACCAAGTTCTTAAAACAGTTGGTTCTGCAACATTGTGTCTTGGGAACTTTAAATCCCTACGATCTGGCCACACCCTAAGGCTGTCGTGGATAGACTTGATTCGTTACTCCAAAGAGGCATTATGGGTAAGGTGTTCCATTAATATCCTGTGGTACAATTTGAGCTCTGTTAGCATTTGCCCCAGTTACTGGAACTATATTAAATGGTTTAATGACAGCCTGGCATCTAATTAGTGTGTTTCCCGGATGTTGTTCCTAGATTAGGGGAACAGTATTTCCAGTGAAGAAAGTACAACCGGAGGAAAATTACTTGCTGAAGTACCAGAACCTGCATTCAACAAGTCCTCGAAACTTCTAGACCAGTTCTCTTTTTACCAGGGATTAGTCAACGGTCTCTTTCCTAAAGCCCTAAGTGCCTTCATTGGAAGGAACGTTTCTCTTTCTTGTACAGAGTGTAAAATATGGCTCTTTATGTCAGAAATATCCAAATGTGTAGAGAATTTTTATGAGTTCATTTGAGCCAAATTTGATGACTTATGCCCAGGAGCAAGATCTCAAATGTTCCAGAGAATAAGTATGGCAACTTTTAAAATATATATTTCAAATTAAAAAGGGAACAAGAAAATAAGCAGAAGGAAAAAAATGAGAAAATAAGCAGGGGCGGGTGGTGGTGGATTACAGGATAGTTAGCATTACGTGCTTTCTCGAAGGTGGTTAAGGCTTATTTGGTTGTTTGTTTTTATTGTTCAAGTACAGTTTCCTGCCTTCCCCCCACCCCAACCCAACCCCTGCTATTTGTTTTTAGTCCTTACCCAAGGACATGCTTACTGAGTTTAGGGAGAGAAGAGAGACATGGAGAGAAACATCTATAGGGAGAATTGCCACGGATAGAATCCACTTAAGGGACATTGCTCCAAAGAATGCACATGGGCCAGGACTGGATAAGGCTCATTACAAGGGTGTGTTAACCATGCTGACCAGGGTGGCTCAGTTGGTTGGGTGAACTCCTGCAGAACAAAAGGTTGCCTGCTCAGTCAGTGAACTGGCTGGGCTCAAGTTCCTGTGCCATGACCCCAAGGGCAATAGGAAGTTAGAGTGCAGACAGAACAGCTTCAGCCTCTCCTCATCAGGTGAGATGGATCCCGAGCACACCATATGCTGGCCTCCCTGTGAAGCCAAGACCTCTCTGTGGTTCCTAGGTGACCTTGAAGCCAACATAGCCGGCTAAGTCATGTAGGAAGAGCAACACTTGAGTGCTGCATTTGACATCCTATGTAATCTGTGATCACCCAGGGAAGGGAGAGAGAAAGAAGGCTGACTCTTCAACTTGAAGTGATTGAGACCAAGATCAATGTCTTGAAGGTGAAGTATCCAGGTAACCTGGATGAACGACTGAGGCAGTTACTGAGAGTCTGGAACAGCAAGAGGAAGGAAGCCCAGGGACTGGAGGCTGAACCTGGTGGCAGACCTCATGGGAGACCAGCCCAGGCCCTCCAGGGCAAACATGAGAAGTGTTAGCTGCGCTGTGCCTGGTATTATGGAACTGAGATGCACACACCTCTGCAGCTCCTCATGATCCAGCTGCTCTTCTCTGGGGGACTGAGGATGTCTGCACCGTCTGAACTTTGGCTACCACCACTGAGGATGACCAAGTGCATTCCATGTGCCAATGCTATTAAAACCTAGCAGTGAGCCAAGATGAGGGACCCAAGCATTGGCAGAGCCAGACTGGCTTCTCCATTAAAGCTACCATTTATAAAGGTCTTAGTCTGTACCAGGCAGGGCTTTGAGCACTATACAGATACTTCCATGTAAGGGAGATAGACTCTGGCATCCCCATTAAATGGGTTCCTTCAGGAAGATTTGGAACCTTGTCCAATGCATAGAAAAAACGTCTGTCAAGTTGGTGGTTATTACTGTTGTGATTCTACGGGTGAGCAAATGAGCACAGAGCTAAGGAGCCGAAGGCAAATTGGGATAGAAAGAGGAGTTGTGTGGCTCCAGAGCCCACACATGACAACCACTGGATCATTCTGCCACCTCTAGGCCTTGAGGCCCTCAGTGTAGATCTGTAAAGCAGGGCAAGTCACATGAGTGAGATCCACCCTGACCTACACTTAGGAAGCCTACTGCGCCCATGCTCCAGCCCTTGGCCCTTGAGTAAATGGAGTCTCCTGAGGTTTGTCAAACCCTGTTCTATTAGGATTCAGCCTACAATCGGATTAACACCCTAAGTAAAAAAACGAGACATGTAAGTATTATAAATTATTTCAAAGCTTGATATAGTAGGATAAAAAGGCAACTTGAAAAATGTCAACTATAATTGGTTCCAGTAAGGCTCAAATATACCCCTTTCTAGACTTGATGTATTTATATTTGGTGAAATGTACAGACTCCAAAGTCAAAGTTGTGGAAAGCAATCTTAATCTATGATTACTGTGACCTTACATCAAAACAGTAAGCTCTCTTGATGTTGGTTATAAATGTTAAAAAAAGAAAAATATTTAAGACATTCAACATTGAGAATTATAGTGTTTTATTTTCTTTATGAGTTCCCTTTCTATGCCATGGCAGGTTTGGACCAGCTTCTGAAGTTTTATTTGTGCTTTCAATGGCAGAAAAATCGCAGAGTTCCTTTAGTGAGCTTTCTCATCTGCATCACTTCCTCTGAGACACATTCATCTTTCACGCCACAACCCCTTTCCTCACTTAGTTCCTCTGGCTGCATACCCAGCACTACTTCTTCAATGGAGGCAGTGTCAATTTCCCAGAGTCATCTACTATTTCTAGAACTCCATTTACATTCCATCCACATCCTGTAGTTTTCACACTTGTCTTGTCCGACTATGAGGAGTCAACACTGTCTGTAACTCTTGGAGTCTGGGTGCAAATTTCACAGTAGCATCCTTAACCTGAGCTTGCAGTTTCACCAGATGGTTTAAGGTTAATCAATTCATGCAGGATTCTGAAACGATGCAACCAGCCTCTTTGCTGGAAATAGAATGTTCTTGTTGTCTCCTTGTAATTACCTTCCCCTTCAGTGCAGCACTAAGATACCTTGGCCTGAATGCTAGTGAAACTGACTGGGATTTGTTTCTCATTACAGTCCTCAACCTAAAGTAGAAGAAAATGCTCCAACTGAAACCTAAGCAGCTTTCTCTTCCTACTGCAACTTAAACTAAAAGAGGTTGCAGCAACTTTACCTTAGTTTTTACATTCATCAGGCTTTTAAAATATGGTTTGTAATGGAGCTTCACGTAGGCCTCGGTCTTCTCGCCTTGTCTTTGCTTTGCTATCACCATTTTCGAATCTAACCATATTCAATTTCACTTCCAGTGTTATCGCTTTTTGCTTCCTTACTGCTGTCCGCATTCTGGACCAATTCCCTCTTTTGATTATCAACTTTTGTAAAATGTCATACAGGTTTATCACAGGAAGACAAGAAAGCAATACAACTATTCTTTACTGCTGTGTGGAAATTAACCCACCACCAACAAACTTTGAAAGAAGTGATGTAACTGGTTGCTAATCATGATGCACATCTTTTATTTGCAAAATGGTTTATGGACTAAAGAGCGAGCTGCAAAGTTTATGTAACAATTCAGTTAGTAATTGGTAACTGAATTTCAACCACGGTGGGGGCTGGTGTTACTTAGCTGTGAAAAATGCATGTTGGAACAGTGCAAAGTAAGAACTACATGCATCTAAAAAGAAAACCTTGTATTAGTTCACAGTCAATCTTTAATTAAATTTAGGTAACTACTAGCCAGTCCTAATCCTAGTTACATAAAACTTGGAGCTTCTCAACGGAACTCTATTTCTCAAAGGAACGCTAGTTCCAAGACTCTGAATTACTCTTTGGAGCTAGAAGAATGTTCACACAATTTTCCCAATTAGGATTTGTAGACAATCTAAAAATCTATTTTTTTTTTGACAACTTAGACCCCCTTTGCTCATTTTAATGATCTTGAGTTCTGCAAAAACTACTGTTGTCCAGATTAGAAAACTTTACAATCATCACAAGGCACAAGACCATGTGTACTTACAACTTGTTCCACAGCAACCAGTACAATGCTGACTGATGTAAAAGAGGAGCGTCCATCACATTAATGTTGTTTTAGTTTTGACTTTCTTTATCTTAGCCAAAAAGGCTGAAACAGCAATCAGTTTTGTTTTTGAATTCATTTATTTAGTAAATCTTTTCATTCAGGGCCATAAACAAAGCTTACATCGACCTTTAAAAGAAAATTAACTTGCCCTGGCTGGTATGGCTTGGTGGGTGGAGCGCTGGCCTGCAAACTGAAAGCTTGCTGGTTCAATTGCAGGTCAAGAGGTATGCCTGGATTGTGGGCCAGGACCCCACTAGGGGGCGTTTGAGTGGCAACCAGTTGATGTATCTCCCATGCATACAACGATGTTTCTCTCCTCTCTCTAAATGAAGAGCAAGGGCCAGAGAAAAAGGGAAATAGAGAAAGAGAGAGAATGAGAATGAATGAATGAATTAAATTAACATTGACTATTTATAAAATTCCCCCCTTTATATTTCTCATATTTGAGAAACCCCTCAGACAATATGCCTAATTAATGACAAATTAACCTAGTATTAGATTCAAGACTCCCAGCTTGCAACCATCTGCCTGACTTGAACAGAGCTCAAGTCATATAGGATGATCACCCACTGGTACATCAAAGAGTACTTATAAAATGTCTAGTAGTTCAGCAAATGTAAATCCCAGAACATTTGATCTCTGAGAATTTCAGGGGCTGAAAAGATTATGTCATTATTTTTAAGAAAAGATGACTACTGTTAAAAGGTCTGCCCCCCCACCCCCAACCAATGGCCTGTTCTTAAACTACTGATTCAGAAAAATTATACTGTCCTTGAAATCATATTTACTTTTGAAAGCTGAATGAAGGAAAAAACTGCTAATTGAATACAATATCAAAATTCTGCTCATGTCAATTTTTTGCTCAGTTTTTAAAATGTTTTATCCAAACTAATTTACAAACTTCTTACCTTATTAAATAAATTCTTTGATTTCTTGATCATATAAAAGCATACAGATGTTTTCTTAAGAAAAACATCCTGCAACTTTATTCCTAAATGAAAACAAATTTACAGGTAAAACAACATACAAAAACTAATACCGATTATGACCCTCACACTTTCCATTTTCCATTATGTCCTCATCCACATACATTAATCACAACAAGTCATGATGTGAACAGCAGTGGTAAAAGTTTAATCATTGGACATTTATGCTTTCTTATTTTTAACTTATGCTCTAGTCATAATGTTTTCAGTGCTTAGCCATTAAAAAATACATAATACATGCACATTTCTGTACATTTCAATTCTCTCAGGTAGAAGAGATGAGAGCCCCAATTTTACTGATCAGAAAAAGCCCACAACAAATATAATCTCAAATATATCATCTATCTACTTTGCACACCTTGTGTTATGGAAATTTACAGGCATACTCTCACCATCAGACCTGAGATGGAAAGGCTAATCATACTTCAGTATATTCCAAACTGGTTATGCCTTGCTTTATGTGTAATGCCTTTGTTACTAGACAAGGTTTCCAATGATCAAAAGTTTTAAAGCTTTCAGAAGAAAAAGACAAGAGGATCCTAACTACTGTGGTTCAAGCTGGTTGGGAACCCTCTGCAAAGCAAAGGGTCGCCTATTCGATTCCCGGTCAGGGAACATACCCAGACTGCAGGTTCAATCCCTGCTGAGTCCATGTATGGGAGGAACACACTGTCATTTCTGTCTCCCCCGCCCCAAATCAATAAACATATCCTCCAGTGGGGATTAAAAAAACAAAAACTGAGACATGCCAAGTGAGACAGTTTGGAAGTAGATGTCCCCCTCCACCCACCATAAGTGTTTGTTACTTTAAACTAATAAGTTTTGGGTAATTTATTACATAGTGGTATATAAGTAATACAGAGGGCCCCAATCCACATCCAAAAAGTAAAATGTACAACTTATGAATTAGCTGAAAAGGTCTAAAATTCAGAATTGCCTTTATCTTTGGTCAACAATAATTTCAAAACTCCACAGCTTTCTGAAGAAAAAATAATAATAAAAATTAAAAATCGCACAACAACCCAGAGATTTAAGGGGATGAAAACCTCAGCAAGAATGTAAATCAGTTACTAGAAATATACTTCATTATATCAGGACAACAAAATAGATTTTACCTTTATAAATCCATTTTCTTTTAGTTGGACAGTCCTTCGTTTCCAACTCATCATTATTGTGCCAGAAGTACTTTCTACATTTAAGACAGAAAGATACACTACCTCTTCTTCCTATTTCCAGTCATTTTCCAAGACCCAGGAATCCTTTTCTGACATCTCTAAGATTCCTGAAAAGAGATGTTTTCTTTTAAATTACTTTGTGTAACAACCAATGCCTTTTGCAAATAATATATTTAAAATAGCTTACATATCCTCATTAACATGTTCAGTAATCACAACAGTTCATTATGTGAACAGCAGTGAAAAGGTTTAATCACTGGATATGAATTTATTGGAGGAAGCAAAGATATAATCAAATAATCAAAATGAGAACCTCAGTGTCCTCAGCAAAACAATAAAAACTAGTAACAAAAATCACACAAAAGTGATAAACAAATATAAATACAACTCGACTAAGAAAAATTCCATTTATAACCAAGTACAAACTTCTCTATCCACAAGTACACCAACAATACCTATGGCAGTGACCCCTTGTGGCTTCCCTGGATTAGTTAGTGACTTTCGGTTAAGCAGTCTACATTTGAGTAAATCTGTTCTGCAGTAATACAAAGAATGCACCAGAATAATGTGACAGCCACTGTTTCATCTTTCCTAAGAGAACCTCAACACCTGGAATCCAATTGAGCAGGAAAAAAAGCCCTCTTTTCTCTGTACTCTGAGGTGAACTGGCAGCATCTTTACTTTCACTCTATCTTTAAAAAACTGAAAACTCAGCGCCCCCATTCCAGGTACCCTCCCCAGCCCCACCCACCTCCACCTAGGTTCTCAGCAGGTTCCATACTTCTGAACCCATTTGAAAAGAAGCCCTTTTGCCCACAGTTCCACTTCCATCAGTAAAATCTAGCCCCACCGGCCTTCCTGTTTTAATACACCTACACCCCATGGTGCTATCCATTTAAAGTTACCTTTGATGGGGTAGGAGGGCATTAAGACTACTTCGTGCTGATCACTGCTTATTTTCAAGATTATCAAATTGCACAGGGTTTCCCCACAAGCCCTGGTTCTTTCAAATGCATAACTGGTTGGACAGGAGGTTTTTTCAGGAACACATATGACACTCATCTATCTGTGTACCAGGGCCTGAAAAGACAAATTCACCTTAGATATTGTCTCTGCACTCAAGGAGCATCTTCTAGCAGGTTCCTTACAAACTCTGAGCCCTTAAAATTAGGGCAACCACCACAGTGAGCCCCCACTTCACACCTACGAGACTGTGGAGAAAATGGAACTCTCATCCACTATGAATGGCAATGTAAAGTGGTGCAGCCACTTTGGAAAAACAGTTCAGCTAGCTTTCCTCAAGAGGTTGGTTGGACATGAGGAGTTAGCATATTCCCCAGCAATTCCACCCTTAGGAATAGACTCATAAGAAAAGCAGGTTCAGCCCTGGCTGGCCTGACTCAGTGGGATTGAGTGCTGCCCTGGGAACAGAAAGGGGGTTACATTCCCTGTCAGAGCACATGCCTGGGTTGTGGGCCAGGTCCCCAGCTAGGGGCCTGCGAGCAACTGACTGGTGTCTCTCTCACACACACAGGAGTCTCTCCCACTTTCTATCTCCCTTCCCTGCTCTCCAAAAAATAAACAAATAACATCTCTATAAATCAATCAATCAATCAATCAATCAATCCAGATCCTACCCTTTGCATGCCAAGCATGCTCATTCTGCATGGACCAATTTTCCCCAAATGTGACTGTTAAGAAAGCTATATAATCAACAGCTCTATGAGTTTCAGTCAAATAAAATATAAGCATATTATAATAGAAAGTAGATGTCAATAAATAATACCTTGAGCTGAGTCTTTTTGACTAGAATTTGGACAAAGTAACAAAAAGGGGAAAAAGAAACAATATTGCTTGGACATGCTGGAATTCTTCTTGCGAGTCTTGCGAGCAAGAGAAGGAAACGAAGAAGTTACAAACATTCTGGTGAGCAGGAAATAAATAAGCCACTTAATATGCTAAGGAGCTCTTCCAAGAAGCAAAATAGAAATTATGCCCTAACTAGCCCCATTTTGTTTTTCTATGAAAACTGCAATTTCATACTGTAAACGTACAGCATCGTCCTAAGATATTCCCACTCCTGAAAGCTTTCTATGATGCCCCACTCCTTAAACAAAACCCTTCTGTACAGCCCCTCTTAAGACTGCTATTGAGGAGTCCCCCCCACTAGACCCTGAGCTTACCAAAACCTCACCTTATTTCCTTAATTGCCACATTTTTGCAAAGGGTCTTACAAGAAAACTGTCTGTTGAATTGAAAGTCAACGTCTTCTCCTATTAGACTCATTTATGCTCCTTTGGGGTCACACACCTTCGCCCGACCATACCAACAGCTCCATTACCTATGCATTAGGAAACGACCAAGTAAAACGCAAATACATACACACACACACGGTGTGTGTGTATGTGTGTGTGTGTCCCTCTTAGTAAATTTACTTTTGGCCCAAATTTGTCTTCAATATTTCTAGGACACACGCGTTTATCCCCTCTTTCCATCAAGTCCTCCATTCCCTTTTGGAGCTCGCGGCCAGAGACCCATCGCTCGCCCCGGAACTCGCCTCAGCGTTCGTCCCGCCGCTCCGCTTCGCATCCTCAGGCGTGGCCTCAGAAGAACAGCGATGGCAGTGGATTTAACCACGGGGAGCGAAAACAGCGCAGAACAAGTCGATTACAACAAAACCCCCTCACCAACCGGGAACAGAGAGAGAGGCTCCCTGAAGTGCTCGACTTAGTGCAGTCCCCCGCCTTTCCAATTGGCTGCTGACACGTGACGCGGCCCGTCTCCGCTCACGGCGTCTGGCGCGGTGACCACCCGAAGGAAGGATAAGAGCCCTGCGCCAAACTAGGAGCCCGCCTTGCGGACCAACGAGCGGCGCTGGCGGGGCGGGCGGAGTAAAATTTACTGTGATTCACGGTAGCCGGGAACTTCGACAGTGCAGCTCTTTGTACCGAGAGGACCCGAGTTTGCTCGGCAGTGGGCTGCAGCACTCAGCACACCCTGCTAGGCCGCCAGCGGGGATATTGTTTTTCACCAGTGCGCAAGAGCAGCCCCCGAGCTACGTGAAAACCCAGCACGGCCAGGCGGGTGGGAGGCCAGAGAGGGGGGCGGGGCCGGACGGAGCTGGGGAGGGGGGGTTGGCTCGGTGCAGGTGACGTGCTTGAGCTGCGTAAAGTGGGACCGGGGAAGGAAACAGGCCGACCTGAAGGTTTCAAGTCGTTGCAGGTTTTCCCGCTCAGTGATTGCCTCCAAATTTCTCATACTTTCTTATTGCCTGCCGCTTCCATGACTTTGAACGACAGTTACTCGGAAGGAATTCTGCTTCCTTTCTTATGATTTAACACGAAGAAACGGCAAAAGAGGGAAATTTGGGAGAACTGTTGAAGGCGCGCGCTTCCATTTAGAGTGTGTGGGTTGCTCTTGAGCATGAGTACAGATCAGATTTCACACCCCGGAGTTTGATGAGGCCGGTCGTATTCTGGCAGGATCTGGTCATTGGCTAGGTAGTTTCCTTTAGCTCTAGAGGAGGGCAGATCTTAAGCCCAAGCTAATTTGAACCCATATTTATAGTCCAGGCTGGTAGGTTGGTCATTAAAATCAATGTTCAAAGAAAAATGGGAAATAGAAACGTGGGTAAAAGTGATCATAGACAAAAGAGAAATGCACTTTAAAAAGAGGTAGCCTATTAAGGTAATGTGAGATGCAGTGTTAAGCTGTTGACAAAGCACTACTCGATCAAAAGGAGCTTTATGGGAGTGGAGGTCATTGAGTTGGACCTTGATTTGAACCTTACCGAGATCGGGGGATGGGGTGGGAGCAAGATAGCACTTAAGTGCAGATAAAATACACAGAAGTGGAAAAAACTTGGAAACAAATTATGTTTTAAAGACTTTATTTATTTTTTAGAAGTAGGGGAAAGGAGGGAGAAAGAGAGGGAAAGAAACATCTATGTGTGGTTGCCTCTTGCTGGCCCCAAACAGGGGACCTGGCTTGCAAGCCAGGCATGGGCCCTGACTGGGAATCAAACCGGTGACCCTTTGGTTCATAGGCCAGCACTCAATCCAGTGAGCCACCCTAGCCAGGGCAGAAACAAATTATTTTTCAAAATTAAAAAGTCAGGTTAAGAAATATCAACCATGTATGGTAGGCCTTTTGTAGTCACTTTTTTTGTTTTGTGTTTTGTTTTTAGATAGGTCTCTTTTCTCCACTTAAGCAGTTATAATTGTATACTTTCCATTTCCCTCTGGGATTTCTTTCCATCAATGACACTGCTCTCTCTACAGATTACTTGCCTCAAGTCAGTGAGCATGCTTACATTACAGCCCTCCTACTCTCTGCATTGAAAGTGATGGGGGTTCAAGAGTTGGAAGTTTTCAGTTTAAGTAATAGCTAATAAGCTTAGTAATCAATGCTTGTAAGAACTATTGTGCCAGGAACTGAAGGTATGTTCCACCCTGACTCTAAGCAGTTCCACCTTTGTTCCTCAGGAGGACTGCAAGAAGTCAAGGTGGTATCTGAGCCATTGTCCTCCAAGGTGATATTGTTATAGGAAAACGAAGCAACCAGACACCGAGGGATTCTGGAGTACGAGGTTTATTGTTTAACGTGCACGGGCCCAGAGGAGTCATTTCCAAATTCTGAGCCCCGAACAAAGGATTCTTGGGTTTATATAGTCTACGGGTCTTCCTGTCCACTGACAAAAGCGGGATACAGAAGCAGAATGTGACAATTGTTCTATCAGCAGGGGTGCTAGTCCCAGCCCTACTGACTATCCGGCTATCAGCATTCCCAGCAGGGGTACTAGGTGAGTCAAAGTCTCCTAGGACCTCTCCCTTCATTTCCAGTCCTCACTATCCGGCCACCCGCCGTCCCAGACGGCCCCATCATTCTCTCTAGGGCGCCTGGGGCCTGGGCAAATAAAGGTTAAATAGAGGTTTTTCAAAGTTTCCCATATCAAGATGACCACAGCCCAGGACACAGCTAAGGACCTCTGCCCAGGGGGAGAATACTGCAGCTTTCTTAATCCAATTAACTTTCCCCTGAATTCCAAGCCCCTTACATCTTGTTCTTATAAAAAGGGCCATTTTAAAAGGGAATTTAAGACAGTCTGTTAGGTTATGAACCCGCCATCTTCTCAGATTGCCTGCCATCTAAAGCATCCGTAAAGGTTCAATCCCTATCTCTGATTATTGGTTTCAGTATGTGACAGACAGCTTGAAGTCTTTTCCAGTTTTTTCCAGTTTCAGAAGTAGAGCATTCCTATGAAACCTCATAAACTGAAATGGCATAAAACAAACAGTAAGTTTGCATTCAGAAAGTTCCCATTATACCATTGCACTTTTACGAGAGACCTACATTAATACCTGTTCTCACTGAAAGAAATTCAGAGGATTTTCACTTGTACAGGGGGAGAAGTGATGACTGTACTAAATACATCTGGCAAAGTGAAGTGGCATAATTCAAACTTCAGAATGGGGAATACCTATACTTGTATATGTAAAGTCTTGAGACCATGTGCAGTTCTACACTACCCTTCCCTTTACAACTGGGTTCTTGTGCTTTTCAGCCTCCCGCAGCCATATCCCTGTCAGCATCTACTAAAACAAAGTTGACGAAGGGTCACTGATAATCTTGCTCAGCCCAGAATTATGGGCTGTAAACTGTGATTCTCTCAGAGTGGTAAGAGAAGTTTTATTGTCCATTCTGATCCAATTAACTAGAAAAATGGTTACAAAGCTAATTCTTAAGGTATGTGAAGAATTACCTAAAGCTGGAACTTTTTAAGGATACATGGGATATTCCAGAAAGGTTTTTATTTCTCCAGAGTAAGGGTGATAGAGTGGCAAGCAAGTCACTGAAGTTCACTGATGCTAGTGAACCTGACCTTGAGTATTCTTGGACATGAGCCTGGGGATCAAAAATAAATTCAGCATTTGTTCAAGTTGAAGACGTTAAAAAAAGTCCTTCAAAAAACCAAAAACTCCGAAGACTGTAGCCTCAGTAGAAGATGAAATAGAAATAAACTGATTTCTAACCATCACCTCTGTCTCTAGGACTACAAGGGAAATTTCACATTCTTATTTGGTACTAAGTGGAGAGGGGAGATATTATGTAAGAATCCTCTAAAACAATGATCAAACACACACACAAAACAGTTGTCAAAATTGAAATTTACTGTTAGTTTGTATGTACTACCTTGGCGGTGTGAATCTGGTTATTGAATGCTGCTGTCTGACTTCAGGAAGATAATTTAATGTATATGGTTACAGACTAGTGGTATGTCAGAGTATTTGAAAAGAACGTAATCTACCCTGACCCACAACAAACCCTAAACTTACAATCTAAATTGGATATAGAACACATTTAAATTCTAAGCCACAAATAATTCCTATAAATGAAGTTGCCAATATAATTTAGCAGTTCATGGTTTTAATAAAATAAAAGTACCATACAGGTAAACAAGACACTAATATGAAGTTACCATATTCAACAAAAAATCCAATACACAAAGAATTCAAATTCTAGAGTAACTGCACAAAATATAAAACATTTCTGTTATGTTAAATATTTCAAGAAATGAGAAAACTTTGTGATAAAAAAGCAGATTTGGAAAAAAAGCAAAGGACTTTTTAAAAAATTATTAAAGTGTAAAACTTTAGTACTAGATTAAGCTTAGCTGAAGAGAATGAGTGAACTGGAAGAAAGATCTATTGAATTTACTAAGAATGCATCACAGAAAAACAGGGAAATATGATATAAGTTAAGACACAAGATAAAGAGAAAGATCTAACATATCTAATCAGAATTCCAGAAGAGGGAAATAGTAAGGGGAGTCAGTATTTAAGTAAATGAGGCCTTGCTAGCTACTGATGAACAATACCGATCAAACTTCAAAAAGCCTGTTAATTATTAAGCTAGATGTAAAAAATGAACGCATTAAAGATAAAGCAAATCAACACTAAATGAGTTCATCAGATTAAAACTGCAGAAAACTAAGGCAAATATATTTTAAAAGCAGCAGAAAAGATAGGTCAAAAGAGCAAAAGCTGCCATCTCAACAGCAAAAATAGAAACCAGAAAAAAGTAGTAGTATATCTTACTATACCTTCAATATAATGAGAGGTGATAGGCTGTAAATATAAAAAACATAATTTTATTTATTTTTTAAGCAAGTTTTTTTTTTAAGATTTTATTTATCTTTAGAGGGGAAGGGAAGGAGAGAGGGAGAGAAATATTAATGTATGGTTGCCTTTTGTGCATCCCCTGCTGGGAACTGACCTGCAGGGAACTGGCCTGCAGGGAACCAGCCTGTAAACCAAGTATGTGCCCTGACTGGGAATTGAACTGCGATTGTCTGGTTCGCAGGCCTGTGCTCAATCCACTGAGCTACATCAGCCAGGGCAAAAAACATAATTTTAAAACAGAGGATAAATTAAAAGCATTTTCAGATAAATAAGTACTCCAAGAGTTTATCATCAAAAAAACTATTTCTGTACTTGAGGCATAAGGGAAATGACACCAAATGGAACTACCTGAGGAGTGGGAAAGAATAAA